CTTGTGGGGAGACCGTGTGCAAGGTGGAAATAACACCCATTACTCTCCATAAGACACTGCTGTTTGCACGTGATGAACCATCTGCTCTCGGAGGTGAGAACATTCAAACGCGGAAATGAGGTCGCCAGACTGTGGCAAACACAGACAACGGAGCCGCCGTGACTGCAGGGGTGTCTGTCCCCTGACACCCACATGTACAGGCTTCTCGGGAGTGGAGGCCACTGGGAGGAGACACCTGTGTGTAGGCACGGCTCCCCCGCCGTGGGCCTCTGTTGAACCCGTCTCACGGCTGACGTCCAGCATGCTGCAGGCTGAGGCCGGCGTGCGTGGTGGGTCGGTGATGTGAATCTTCTTCCTGTACGGCCAATGGTCTGCAACAGCCAGAGGACTCAGGATGTCTCGCGGTCCCCTTCAACCTCGTGGCACCCTGGGGCGGACGTGGGTGGGTTAGGGGTCCCTCGGCCTACGAGGAGACTTCCCACTTAATTCCAAATCCATCGGAGAGGGTGGGTTCCAAAGGAACCGTCCATTAGAGGTCATTACTGGCTTTCAGAATAGGAACGGTTAGTTATCTCTCCTGCCCTCTTCCTTGGGGTTAATCCATTTTCCAGAGTTGGCCCTTCTCCCCAGCAGGAACCCCAAAGACTGTTCTCACCATCCCCCCCAAGGTCACTTCTCTTTCCTTGAGATATACCCCCAAGAGTTCCCAGCATGGAGATGACTCTTCGAGTCCCCAGACCGGAAGACACTCAGGAGGTTAGTTTATTTTGTAGATGGAGAGCCTCAGAGCAAGAGAGGTCAATACTTACTGAGTTGGAACTAGACCGAATGTAGAATTTTCCTGTGGATGAGGAGATACTGATACGTTTCTCATATCTTTTTGACAAGTTAGGCACTTTTGACTTGTCTGCAGTTCATTTTAATAATTAAAAAAAAAAAACAGTTTTTTGAATGTTTTTAAAAAAGCCTAGGGGCGCCTGGGTGGCGCAGTCGGTTAAGCCTCCGACTTCAGCCAGGTCACGATCTCGCGGTCCGTGAGTTCGAGCCCCGCGTCAGGCTCTGGGCTGATAGCTCAGAGCCTGGAGCCTGTTTCCGATTCTGTGTCTCCCTCTCTCTCTGCCCCTCCCCCGTTCATGCTCTGTCTCTCTCTGTCCCAAAAATAAATAAAAAACGTTGAAAAAAGAATTAAAAAAAAAAAAAAAAAGCCTAGTGCTTTATCTAATATGTGTAGCGTCTGCTGAATGGAGGGCAGAGCTCCCAGCAGGCCTGCTGCCCCATCCTGTGCCCTGAGAGCTGCCTTTGATCTGGGGCCGGAAACCTCGGTTTTTTCCAAGGGGTTAAATGACCGCCACTGCTCGCCTTCTGAGCGTCCTCCTCCGTGGTCTCCTCGGGTCACCCTGACGGACGTATAATTGCTCACCTCACTTGCCCCGCACCTCCCCCACCAGCACCGGGGCTGTGCGGACTCCACACAAATAACTGCTTGTCAGTTGACGGACGTGGCGATTTTCAGCAGACACCTTTCCTCCATCCGTCCTTCCAGGCCCACTCGCCTCTCAGCCCGGCCGGGAGGAAAATCGAACCGCAGGCCATTTGAGAGCACTTCAAATCGCGGAGCTGGGCATGATTAATAGGCAGATAGCCCTGAAAGTTCTGAGCACCCGCCTCCCTCCGTGGGCGAAACACAGCACGGGCCCGGGGGCCTCGGTGCCTCTGCTATCACGGCTGGTACATTTCCCTCCATAAACTCGTTCTCTCTGACACCCCGGGGAGTGTTTTATGACATCAGCAGAGTCTGTGGAGAGGCCCAGAGCAGGGAGTCCGTGAACCTGTCAGAGCAGACCCCACAAGTGGCCCACGGGGAGCCGCAGAGCAAGCATTTCCACGGCGGAACGGCCCAGACGCCGACCCGATCACGCGTGAGAGCCCACGGTGCCGCGGGTGGCTGCAAACCCAGGACTGTTAGAAGATGCAGACTCCGTGGGAGCACGTGTCCCGCAGAGTCTGGGGTCTGGGGCTGTGATGCGGGGCTTTGAAATGATCTCCCCGGCCTCAGAGAGCCAGTCACAGGGAGCCGTGCAAATCCATTACCTCCAAAGCCAGATTCCGGAAGCTGATTTTCACCAAGATTGACTATTTTCAACCATTTTCATGTTGTGTTGAGATATTGAGGGAGTAAACCTCAGTAAGGCAACTTGCATTTGAGATTAGCTGGGCGAACCCCAGCCCACGGTCAGGTCTCCTAGCACACTTTCCACGATGTGTGTGTGATTCTCACGCGGAGAAGTCAGCGATGCGCATCCTGGTTCACGAGTGCTGTGACCTTCTGCGGAGACACCACAGGGCGGCGTGGAGTCCGTCATGCACAGTGAGACCCGATCTCGTCTCCCCGCACGGCCCCTTCAGGCCTGGCTCCGTCCCCTCATCTCTAGCCACGAAGCCGGGCTCAGTGCCGTAACTAAACAGGTGGAGTCCCGGGCCATCACCGAAGAGCGGGGCTCTGCTCCAAGTCAGAGTCTTTCTGCCCCTCAGGCCTGCTTTGGGCTGGGTCTCTACGGGGACACAGGAGGGTGGGCTCAGCTCACTCTGTGGCCTCCCTCGCGCAACAAGGAGCATGGGTCTGGGGCCCCGCCTGGCGGCTCTGGGAGCCCCTTTAACGCTGTTCCCTGAGGGCTCAGAAGCAGTGCAGGTGGGCGACCTGCTTCCGTCTCCTGGCTCCTGGGGACCCCCGCCGTCTGTGGGTCGTCCTGTCCTCCACGGTCCCCCTGACACAGGCCCACTCGTGTCTCTGGCCCATCTAGACATCCCCCCGCCCACACCCAGACTTGGCTGCACACTCTCTCCCAACCCTGTTTCCTCCGCTGCTGGTGGAAGAGGAGTTGGGGGCTCCAGACCTGCTTCTCAGAGGCCTCCTGGACGAGCCCTCTCCCGTCTCGAGCACAGCTGGTGGGTGGCCGGATCGAGGGGCCATGGGCTGCAGCCCAGATGGGGATCCCTGGGGTCTGGGGTCTTGTTACAGGCAGGGGCCCCTGGGGATGGGTGCGGGAGGCAGGGTATCAGGAAAGTGTGCCCGTGATCTAGCTGAATCGCCCGCACTTGCTTCTTGGCTGGTTCCAGCAGAGGAAGACAACATGGCTGAGGTAGCCGGATGTTTAGATCATGAGTCTTTGCGCACAGATGGTCTCCACGGAGTAGAGCGGGGAGTGCGCAGCTGCGGGAGGAAGTGTGGATGGAAGGGGCTTTGACGTTGACGCTGGTGAACCAGGCATCATTAACATGAGGACGCGTCATCCCCGCGTACGACATCAAACACTGACGGAAGTGGTCCTGTGATTTCAGGGTGAGAAACCCACCCTCCTGAGACATTCGGTAAACTGAGTCCTGCTTGTCTCCCCTTTGCTTTCCCGGGCAGCGCCTCACTTTCTGCTGTGTTCTGCTGCCACGTCGGTCATTTCCCCCATTTAGCCGCTCCCTCTGCGTGGACGTGAGGCCCCGCCGCCTTCCGTGCCGTGGGGCTGGGGGTGCGGGTGGCGGCACAGGCCTGCGTGGACCCGCAGAGACCTGGGTGCCCAGGCTCCCCACTGCTCCTCACACCTGGACGAGAAACGGGCCTTGGGCGGCAATCCCTACGGGTTCTGGAGATGTCGGCGCGGCCCTGGGCTCTGCTTATCTCCGTGAGCGACAATAAAGTGTGTCCGCTGCCCGTGAGCTTGGAATGTTCTTGACTCAGGTTCGGTTTCCCAGCTCAATGAAAGCTTGATGGTTCCTCCCCAGGGCCGATCCGGAGGTGGACCCATAGTGGGGGTTGCCGGGCCCTCACGCGTGTCCCCTGCTGGTGGTCACGGCTGCCCCGGGGCCCGGTGGTCAGAGCTGACCGCCTCTGGGCTCTGGGACAGATTGCCCTGCAGGACCCGGGTCTGTGGCCCCAAGGGTTCCAGGTGTAGACGCCCGCCGCGGACAGATGCAGGGCCCCACGAGGGGTCCCCGCCCGTGTGGCCCCTTCCCGTGGCCTCCTTGCCGGGATCGGCGGCAGAGGAAGCCAGAGTCTGCAGCAGGGTAAGGAAGGTGGGGTGGAGGTAGGTGGCCCCACCTGGCCTCCCAGCTCCGCCCTTCCCTGCCCCGCCCTGCGAGCACAGGGACCTTCCCTGCCCCTGCTCCGTGCGTGTGTGTGCACACACGCGTGTGAAGTGGTGCTGTTTCTACGCCTTCCTCCCTTCCCCAGGGAACCATCAGCCAGGGCCTTCCTAACTTCGGGACAGACAGCAGCCCCGGGGTCCTGACCTTCAAGCCCCTTCCAGGATGAATCTGTTAGGTTGGCGTGTGGTTAGATGGCTTGGGATTTTTGAAATCCTTAGGATTAAAACAGTGGTTAGTCTCGCTGTGTTTCACTGCACCTGTTTCCCGCTTGCAAATGTCTGAGGGTTGAGTGGACATGTTAGAAGAAGGTGAAATCTGATCTCAGTTCTTGTGCCCAGAATCTGTGTTTTTGACGTTTCCCACGCCCCCCCCCCCGCCCCAACAACTACTTTTCAAAGTGCTGTCTGTGTGGGTCGTGTACTGTGGTGACTTGGGGTGTGACCGTCGTGGGCCCCGCCCGTCCCCTGGTCAGGATGGGGGCCAAGGGTGGCCCATCGTGGCCACCAGCCCCCAAAGCCTGAGAAAGCCTGGTTCTTCGGCCCCACGTTGACCCTTTCCCTCGTCAAGGAGGAAAAGTCTGTCCGGTTATGGCCGTCGACCCACACCCCCCCCCGGGGCCTGGTCCATCAGCTGTGGCCAGTAGTGCTGTGGCCAGTGCGCAGGCTCCGATGGAGTTGCCAGGGAGCTCAGCGTCGTTGGAGGGACTTAGTCACAAGGCCCCGTCAGGGCGTGTGCCAGCACAGCCTTTCTGCGGGAGGTCCACCGTGTGCAGCCAGTTTGAACGTCCGAGGCCACTTTTTGTCCCTGTTTTTCCAAATTGGTGTGACAGATGGGATACTAATGCAATTGTTTTGGTCCAACAGATAAAAGCAGAGAGCGCGGCCGAGCACCCTGTCCTCCCGGCCTGATGCTGCACGCGGACAGGAAGAGCCGGGCCGGGGACGGAGAAGACAAGGTTGGTCTCTGGACTCTGCTTGTGCTCTGCAAGCCGGAACTCCGGGGTCAGGGGCACCGGGCCCAGAGCACCCCTCGGGTCCTACCCCTCACCCCTCCTGTCGTTCGCTGATGCTTTGGGGTCTGCTCTGTGAAGCGGAGTCAAAGCCAGCGAGAATGTGGATTCCAGATCGCGGACGAGAGGGGTGGGTGCCCCGGGCTTTGGTAAAAGCCGCCAGGCCTTCCCCTCGGGTCCTGGCTCCAGGCCTCGCAAGGCCAGGGCTCCGTGTGGTGACCTGGGCTTCCCGGGTGTGCCGCGCCCGCTTTCGGGACAGGGCCACAGACGCCACGGGGCTGCAGGGCCACGGACACCACAGGGCAAAGCCAGAGCCTGTCTCCGGATGTTTAAAATTCGTGTGCGTCAAGCCCCACACACATCGGTTTTTTTCTCCACACTTTCCAGTCTCGGGCCCTTCTCTCTGCCTCTCTGCCAAGTGGCATTTTAAGGATTGACCGTGGATGTGCTCGGCACATTTACCTTCCCACGAAAGACCCGAGGGAGTAGCTTTTATCGCTGTCTTTGAAAATCACAAATTTCATTCGCTCCAAGCTGTCAGGTATCTCGGAGGCCTGTGGTCGCCCCAGGGTCTTGTGAACGTTCTGACTTCACCTCCACGGGTGCGTCTCTGCTCCCGCCGGCCCCGCGAACCCTCCTGTACCCACGGGCTGTCCTGCCGGTTCCCCCCGTAGGGACGGTCGGGGGGACCATCATGGACACGGGTGCCTCTTCTCATCCTTAGGGCCGGCGCTAAATGGTGTAAGTGGGTCACGAGTGTTCATGCAGATGACACCTTTGCTCCCTGATGCAGGATTTCTCTGGAAGAGATCAGCATCTGTGCCAGTATTACATGTTTATTAAACAAATACCCTTTCTAGTGCCTTAACTACTTCATCACTGGGCTCCACACCTCTAATTCAGTTTCATTACTTTGGCATGGAAAGGGAGTTTTATGCCATGATTAGCCATTTTTATCACCAACAGGAAATCATAACTGGCGAGTGCAACAAGAAGGAGACCCTGGTAATTAGCAGTAGAGAATCCCAGCATTGCCAGATTTGAACGTTAGTCCCCGTCACAAATCACGCCGCGCCAGATCTGCGTGAGTGATTAGCTGGGGTAATCTAGTACTCAGAGGCTCTCATTGGGTTTCTACTGTTCAATTAGCTCCATAATGAAAATCTCCCCTCGTTTTGCTAATTGGATTAGTAATGGAAACTGTGGTCTCAATATATATATATTTTTAACACCACTGTCTGAGTCCTTCCTGTTACACTCATTATTTATCCTGATCTTTTTTTTTTCCCCCTCACAGGAAGGAAAGGCATCTTCTACTCCCCAAAAAGTCTAAAAGAAATTATTCTTAAACTGTAGAACTTAAGGATAATTATATAAATTAAGCCTCACGTAAATTCGGTGAAATTTTCTGTGTGGGTGAGCAAAGGGTCGCAGGGGGCCCCCAGCAGGGAAGCACACAGTGCGAAAGAGGCGTCCTGACCCCTTCTCTCCTGGGCGTTAGGTCTGTTGGAGACGTGCCTTGCCCTCTGCCCTCACCCGGAGGCCACGCAGGGACTCTTCCGGGGGAACGTTTTCATCCCACGACTTGTGTCCTTCCTCTTGGCCGGCTCTGCTCGGCCAGCTCTTCACCCCCGACCACGTGGGCCATTCTGTCCCCAGCTCGTGGGTGGGTCAGCCACGCACATGCCACGTTTCTGTGCGTGGGACTTACTGCGGCCCGGGCTTTGGAGACACTGGGATTCTCTCGGCTTTTTGTCTGGATCTCGTGTTCCCGTGCCCCCAGGATCTAGCGTTTGCCTTTCCAGCTCCTGTGTGTGAAGGGAGGCTGACGCGATGTACAGGGAGTGCAGCCCTCAGGGCCCCGGATCAGCGCGTGGACTTCTGTGCCCGCGCCCTCCCCGCTGGCCGGCTCTGCCACGTGCAGCGCTGACCTCCCGGCCCCGTCACCCACACGGGCCGCTGATCACCTCACCTACAGTATCTCATCCCATAAGGTCCTGGCACGAACAGTGGTGGGAATAGAGATCCCAGAATTTTAGGATGGCCTTCTTCAATTCAATTCAGTTCAATTCAGTTCAATTCAATTCAACTCAATGAATCCAGAGCTTTAATTGCAAATGACAGTCTCCTCTGAGAGCCTGGTTGTTGCTTTGAGTACATTCTGGTGTTTTTTAATCTCATCTGATTTTTTTAAGAGAAGGAGAACACAGTGTTATTATTCTAAGTTTGAGATTAAAACTGTAGAGACAGCCGGGAGAGGAAAAACATGTCCTTACCACACCGCTAAAGTTTTGTTTTTTTTTTTTTCCTTTTTAATATTAGAGAATACATCTTCATTTTCTTCTAGGTGGTGTAATGTTCAAACATTCTTTGTTTTCTAAATAGAGCCACAGACACAGAGTGATTTTCAAACCCAACTCTGCCCCAGAATCCCTTGCACCACCCCCCATCTCCGCCCCCAGCTAGGTGCTCGGGAAGGAGAGAACATCACCAGATGCTACAAGGACGTGGGCTCGTGCCCCCCACCCCCCGTCCTCAGGGGCCCAGATGAGGAAGTCCGGGTGGACCCAGGCCTCCTTGCACCTTCTAGATTCCCTCCCAGAGCGCACAGTCTTGGAAGCACTGGACCCCAGCCTCCGGGTCGGCCCATTTCTGGAGATGAATCCTGTGTGATGTTTTGCCCGTGAGATGTTAAGGCATCCACAGGCCGTCTCTTGGTGGTGGCTGCCTTTCCCTGTATCTGCAGAAGCAGATAGTCTAGCCAATCTGGGGTGATCAGGGAGATGCCTTGGTCTGAATTCCTCAGCACGGCCTGTTGTGCCTTAAATTCCGTATTCTCAGCATAATTGCTCAGTCCCGTTGGCTTAGCTGTACTGAGCAGGTCATTATCCAGCGGGTGTCTGCATGAACCGTGTTGCCCTTCACTTGGTTGCCTAATTGAAGACGAGTGTTTAAATTAAAAAAAAAAAGTGCCCTCCTTCTCTTTCTGTTAAAAGGAGCCTCCGTCGATACTAGTCACCAGAGAGGACAGCGCGGCAAAGGGCAACCGACCCGTGGCCTCTACCCCGGTGCCCGGATCCCCCTGGTAAGATGCCTCAAGACGTGGGAGCGATGGTTGGTTGGCACTAAAGAGAACGTGCACGTTCTTAGATAATGCCGTGCTTTAAAAAATTAATTTGTGGCTCACGGCAGGTACCAGCACCATACTGTTGTCAAATGCTGCAGAAAGAAAAGTAGCATTTAAGTGATAAGTTATCCTGCTCCCGTGCATTTGCAAATCTGTGTTAAAATAATCAGTTGTTGTGTATATATCAGTGAAAGACGGTGTCTGAAGAAAAGGCAGCACGCATTACGCTTCAAAGAGCTGTTTTCTCTCCAAGAAGCTAGTAACTGAATGGCTGTTAATTAAAGATGTGTCTGGCTCTCTCCAGCTGCCCTGTGAGGATTCCTGATCTTTGAGTATGCTGTGCTCAAACTAGCCTCCACGAGGGAGTCACTGTCTTTGGTTTTTTTAAAATGTCCTTTTATAATGGAGTAATTTGGAAGCAGAAGAAAAAGGTTATTATAATAAAAATTAGTTTTAAAACCTGAAGATGAGAAGGTAGGACAGAGCTGGAAGGAGCAGCTAATTCGGACAGCACACGCAGCGCCCTGGGTCGGCTTCACGTGCCTCCTGGGTAGGAAAGCCACCCGCTACTGGTCCCCGTCTGACGTGACCGCCGATGCCCCCGTCACCTGCTTGCTGTGGTAAATAATGCTCTTAACTGGAGCCACTGGGCCACTGGACCATTCCTCCCTTCTCTGCACGGTCCGCGGTCAGCGTTGGCCAGCACCTGGCGGCCTCCCGCCCTCTGTCTTCAGCCGCAGCCACTGTGCACCCTGAAAACGCCTCTTGGGGAAGAGCTTCCTTCTGCTAACACAGAGTTCACACCCGCTTCTCCAGGGGTCCCAACACTTAGGGAGCGTCCTGCCATTCAATTCAGTTCCGGCTCCAACTCAGAGTTGCCCAGGCCCCACAGGCACAGTGCTACCCTTGCAGCAGATCTGGATGCAAATGGGGTCCCGGGCCACCCGCACTTTGGTCTGGCTGATTGCAAATTCAGGGGTTCCCACGACCTCCCCTCAGGTCTGATAATTTGTCAGCATGACTCACAGAGCCCAGGAAAAAGGTTTACTCACGGTTGCAGTTCGATCAGGAAGCATCGACCGGCAGACGGAAGAGACCCGGTGGCTGAGCTGTGTGGGGAGGGGGGTCCAGGAACATCCGTGCCCCGGAGAGTGCCACCGCCAGGGCAGGAGTGTCCACGAGCAGGAAGCTCCCCGGACCCCGCTCTTCCGGGGGCTTTCTGGAAGGTTCCTTACGAAGGCATGACTGATTGCATCACCGGCATCACCGGCTGGGGGACTGGACTCCCATCTGCGGCCCCTCCCTGGCGGCTGGGGGTGGAACAGAAGGACCGACCTTCGAATCACCTGCTTGGTCTTTCTGGTGACCTGCCCTGCCCTCCAGGAGTCACCTCGTCTGCGTGGACCCAGCGGTGGTCAGAGGGGCTCCCGGCGAATAAAAAAAGGTGTTCCGATCACTCAGCCAATCCCAAGGGCTTTAGGAGGTCGGTGCCAGGGGTGCAGTGAAGGACGAAGACCAAACATTTCTTTCTTATTATGCCACACGTGCTGCTCGGGGCCTTTTGGGGCCTTCTGTAAGCAAACTCTGCCCGGTGTGTGTCTAAGGCAGGTGCACTTTACAAGTCGTGTGTAGGGGATTGGGGTAAATTCAGCACAGGGGAGCGGCCCTGTCACGCCGAGCTGGGGATGCTGCCCTTGTCTTGCAGGGTTATAATTAGGTGGAATGTGTGACCTTGAGCACTGGGCGTTTCTCACTGTGAAGCCGTGGTCTGTCTGCCCCGTAGGTCATACCGTGTTGGACGCACAGTGCTGAGCGGAGTCGGGGAAATCGCTCGCTGCAGGGTGGGTCCTCGGCCCGCAAATTACACGTCGGCGTGTGCCCTTCCCGGGCCTCCGGCCGAGTGGCCGGCAGCAGGGCCCAGGCTCCGGCGTCTTCTCGCCGCCTCGGCCGGCAGGATGGGACGGGCAGGCCTTGAGGACGCTGGCTGGACGGAGGCGCGGTCGCCCTGTGCACGTGCACGGACGGGCCACCCGCCACGGGGACGCACTTTCTGAGTCAGAATGACACTCGCTGGCTGGAACCTGTGTTGCTGCTCCGATGTGTCGGGAGCTGCCGCCTCATCTGTGTCTTCCGACCCTGTTCCGCCTGCAGCGGAGCTTCTGGGCTTCGTGGCGCCGCCATTGGGTGAAGGATGTGAGTGTTGACGGAACCCCCTCCACGCCCTAGGGGCCGGGTTTGCACGTCCCCTGCAAATGGGGACGGACCCCTGACCTTGCTGGGTGAAAGGGCCCCCACTCTCTCACTCTCCAGCTGGGAGGGGGCTTTGCGAGCAGAGTGGTCTGCTAATTGCGGCGTCGCACTCTTTACCGACACCGCCATCTGTCACCGGCAGCGACGCTCTCCCGCCCGGAGGAACCATGTCTCCTTCACTAGCTTAACCCGAGCCGCCCACTGCCGGCCTCGTGCTGGGGTTTGCTGGTAGTCGGCCCTTCTCGAGGGTCAGCCAGCTTCTCAGGCAGTCAGGGGGCAGAGGGACCCACAGCGGGTGAGGGATTTGGGCTCTATCACCCGTCGTGCTCGCCGGCCACTTGTGTGTCTGGACATCTGAACCTGCCCCTGGTGCTTTAAGGACACCCTCACCCAGATGGAGTATTCCAGGAGGGGTTAATGTGAGGTGGAGGTCGGGGAGGGTGGGGGCGTGTGACTGGGTCCCTTGGAGGTGAGTGGGGGTGTTGGCGTGTCCGGCAGCTGCTGTCAGGTGACCCAGGAGCGGGGCGGGACCCCCAAGAAGCTCTGTGCTTTCGTAAGTGGGTCCCCTGTCACAGTCCAATGCCCAGGGCTCCCTGCTCAGGTCTTGAGAAATCTCATTCCGGAAGGCACACCCTCTGCGTGGCGGTCCCCTGGGTCAAAAGGCCCCCTTCCTGCCTTGGGGAGCAGACCCTCCTCTGGAGGGAAGGGTGAGGGGTCAGCCTGCCAGCCCTGGTCAGATCTGAGAATTACACATCACCTATGGAACCTGAGCCTTAATCTCGGACCAACATTCTCCAGAGAAAATGTAGGATTTCTAGAAGATTCTTGAGGATCCAGGGTAAGTGGTGCAGCCCAAATGGGCTCGGAAAGGATCCTCTTGACCGTTGCAGAGCTGGGGGTGAGGGGGAAACTGGAATCACAATAAAGAAGTCAAAGTTTTGGAATCTACTCAAAACACGTAAAGTGGAAATCAAACTATTCTTACTCTGTTGCCTTGTTCACTGTGGTCACATTTTTAGCCAGTTGGAGCTGAGAAATTGAACGTGTGGGAGGAAGAAGCAGGGTCGGCAAAGACCCTGACGGTGCGAACGCTGGTCTGGAAGTGAGAGCGGAGAAGGCACTGCTTCCTCCCGGGCAGGGGGGCTTATTGGTGTGCGTTAAGCGCCGAGCCAACAGCCTCCTTAATTGTCCTCACCCGGCTAAGATTCTCTCCGCTCTTCTCACTGCCAGGAGACACGGCCAGATGTACAGCCTTCTTAAAAATATTGGCATCATGCTAAGCCCTTCAGAAATGCCAAGTCAGTGCCCTGACACCGAGTGGACACAGGGGACAAGAGTGTGTGCCCGCTTAACCACTGGGCGTGGTTTCAGAGCCCAGAAAAATTTCTTCGGCCAACTCTGCCATTGAGAGGCTCATTTAGCTTAATGCCCTTGGGAGGCTTTAAGGATGGCATAATTGGGGGCATGGTATTTTAAGGAGAAAGAAGAAAATGAAGACAGTGTGTGAACTTTCATAAAAAGGGACACCCCATCCACCTCGAAGTGGGAGTCAGAGCCAGAGGGAGAGACGCAGCGTCATCTGAGCTGTCCTTCCCAATCTGCTCCTGCTTCCGGTATGTTAATTCTAGAACAGTCTTCTTTAGTCTCTTCCAGATTTCTGTTTCTCCGTTTCTCCTTCCCATCCTCCTCTTCCTTTTTTATAACTTGGCTTTCGACCCACATAGCAATTCCTCTGTTTATTGGAAAATAATTAAAACATATTCCTTGGAATTGTTGAAGACACGGAAAAAAGTCGAGTAACTATCAAATAAAGTGTAAAATTCATGAGGTTTTCACTTAAATGACAATAAATGCCAAAGCCGGCGATTAACGTTTTGAAATTCTTGAGAAGACTGTGGGTTTACAAGTAATTCACTATTTTTGTACAATTAAAAAAAAAAAAAAAAACGAACATTGGGTTTGAAATAGTACCATTTTCCAAAACGCCAGGGTGGACGTAGTACAAGTTTTCCACCTGCAATGCCGTCATAGCAAAACGGGAAGTCCTTTCCCAGCAGCGTGGGACGAGACCACGGTGTGCTCAAAGACGAGGGGACGCTCACGGTCAGGAAGCCGGCACCGACAGCAGGTGCCACTGCGGCCGGGCTTCCGTGCGGTTACCGTGAGGACGGAGGTGGTCTCGCGAGAGGTGCGTGTTCGTGGCCGTGGTGGGGCCACGGGGAAGCCGCTGGCTGGTTGTGGCCTTCTGCCCTGGAGCGAGAGGTCAGGCAGTAGCGACAGGCCCTGGAGGCACTGAGAGACGTGCTTGGTGCAGCCACTGTGCGCGTCAGGCTCCGGCAGCCCCCCTTGGAACAGGTGACTGGAGGTGCGGCATCCCGGGGGGCGCTCCCTGCTCCTCCCGACTTGATGTTAACGCCACACTTTTTATTCTGATTTTATTGGATATTTTAGCACCTATCGGTGGTGTCTCTTTATTCACTCATAACTCCTAACTTACCGAGTGTGATGTTTTAAAAGTAGGTTCTCCAGATTTTTCTAAATCCGGGTAGTGGACGCTTTTGGCTTTAAACGAATTAATATAAAAGACAAGTTCTTGGAGGAAGTTGGTAGCGCTTTTCCAGAAAGAAAGGAACGTTCCCCAAAGCACAACATACATGGATGATGTTTGGCAAGAAGAGAGTAGTGGAAAACGCAGCCCCGAGGGCGCT